CCTGGAAGATGGGCGACGTGGTTGCGTCATAAAAATGGGGCACCACACCCAACCGCGCCAGTGCTTTGAGTTGCGGCGCCATCGTCCGTGCACGCGTGACGTCATCAAAGAGCACGTGCACCTGTGCATGCGGATTCACGCGCCGCAAGCTGCCTGCAAGCACAATCAGGTGTGCAGCAATGGTGTCCCAGCCCAGCCTGTGCCACCCTGTGTGTCGCTTTGGAACGCTGTTGTCTTCTTCTGCCAAGACCACAGGCACCACCACACCATCCGTGCCCTGCCCCACCACCACAGTCTCACCCTCATCACGCTCCTCGTGTTGCTGTTGCTGCTGTTGCTGTTGTTGGTGCTGTTGCTGTTGGTGCTGCTGCATGTCATTCTCATCAACACTCTCACCCCTGTCATTGGCGTTCGCGCACGCATCCACACGTGCGAGGAGCAGGGCCGCAGCGTCGGCGGCGTTCACAGCACCATCACTACCATTGCCATCACCACCACCATCTGCCTCACTGTCATTGTCATCGCTCGCCAGCAGCACACCTTGCACCAACAGCGAGTTTTCTGCAACGTTGCCTCCACCCTCCTGCCCATCTTCACGGCCACCACCACCATCACGGTTGCGGTCATTGCGACCCAGCGTGACACCAAATCCATCCACGATGCACTGCACATCGCTGACGCGAGCAAACCTCAGCCTCTCTGCTGCAACCACTGCTGCTGGTGGTAACTTGTCACCGCCCCGCTGTCCTTCTGCTTCCTCATCTCTCACGCCATCACGTTGTTGTTGCTGCTGTTCTTGTTCCACCTCGTCGGCGTCGCTCCATTCAATCTCTTCCTCGCTCTTATTGTCGCCGTCGTCACTACCGAGAGACGGTGTCCATGCAGGCAAAACTAAACACGTGTAGGCGTCTGGCGTGTTAAACGCGTGCACACGTGCAGCATCGCCCACCAGCACAGACACGCGCGTTGATGGTGCCGTGCACATTGCAGACCGCGCAAAGCTCGCACTCCCATCTGGCATCCTTCCTGATGCTGCTGTTGATGTTGTTGATGATGATGATGAGGACGATGATGATGACGAGAGCAGCTGTGATGGTTCGCCCGTGTGTGGGGTGGTCGCGCCCGCCTGTGTGTTTGTCATGACGTAATCGCACCGGAATCGCTGTCTGTAGTTGCCTGGGTGCTCTGCCATGTGCAGGACGGACAAAATGTCCGCACGCAGGACGTACTCGCGAACGGCGTCGCTGCGTGCATGCAATTGCGCAATCTCGCGTGACAGGGCGCTGTACGAGCTGTGGAAGGTGTGATGCAACGCAAGGGCGCCTGGGTCACGCGCGTACAGCCCGCGCACCTGCTTTGCGTTTTGCTCCTGGTTCTTTGAGTTTCGAAACAGGGAATCATACCCAAGGTCCTTAAGAGCAAGGCAGGGCAGGGGGTCGATGCCCGCAAGCGACAGCGCCGACGCAAAGCAGTCGCGAAACCAGTAGTCCTCCCAGTTGAACGTCGTGTGGCTGAGACGTGAGCAAAGGGGGGAGGGGAGGGTGAGTAGGTGAGTATGTGAGTGAGTGAGTGAGTGAGGGAGGGAGGGAGAGTGAGTGAGTGAGGGAGTGAGAGTGCAATGAGTGTGTAAGTGAGTGAGTGAATGGAGTGGGTTCAATGTGAGCTGGCAGCTTTCCAACTCCATGCATACGTGATGGCATGCATGATTGCATGAGCATGCTGTTACCTGAAGCATCGGTCAAAGACGGGCGCCATCGCCTTCAGCGCAGCGCGACTGTCAGTTGAGAGCAGAGACAGGCAGAGGTGAGGGTGGTGGTGGAGGCGGCTGCCATGATGGGAACGGTACAGGTGGTGGTGTTGCACACGTGGTGACAGAAGCACTTGCACATGCACACACAAACAAATACACATAGACGAAAACACACACGAAGACAAAGGCACACACACACACACACACACACACACACACACACCCCCACACCCACACACCCATCCACCCACACACACCCACCCACCCACACACACACACACACACACACACACACACACCCACACCCACACCCACACCCACACACACACACAACAACAACAGCAACAACAACTATAACAACAACAGCAACAACAGCAACAACAACAACAACAACAACAACAACAACTGAAACAACAACAACAGCCACGAGCTACTGCTTGTTAACTCAACGCAACCACAAACGAATACTAACACGAACTACAGCTCCCTCCCTTCTGACTCGTCCCTTCCTCACTTGACGATGATGGCGGACCGGCCTCCGCGAAGGAAGAAGGATTGTCCCCAGCGCGGCGCGAATCGTGAGCGGAAATCTGTCCGTAGCCGGGGACGATGGGCCGCTTTTTAGCTTTACATGGTGCACCATCGAGTCATCGTCCGCTCTGTATGTGTGTGTATGTGTGTGTGAGTGTGCGTGTGTCTGTGTTGAGCGTGTGTGTGATTGCTTGGAACATGTAGCGAAAGGTAAGGATT